CCCAAAAGGACCTTATCTCAACTACAGGCAGAGGTTTGGGTCAGTCACGTATGTTGGTCACCTTGGCATTGTCCGGTTTCAATCCATCAGCTGAAATTTCATGACCCAGATACAAGATCTTGGTGCGACCAAACTCGCATTTATCCAAGTTAATCTTGTACTAGTGTTGTTTTATGACCTAGCATTGTCTTAACGTGCTCCTCTACAATCCTACTAAAGATAAGAATATTGTCGAGGTACACGTGGATAAACTTATCTAAGTAGTCATGAAAAAGCATGTTCATAGCATGCTGAAAAAATTCCATAAAATTTGAAAAGTCTGAAAGGTATCACCACGAACTCATACAGACCGTACTTGATTTGGAAAGCAGTTTTGTATTGATCCTCAGGCCTAATCACAATCTGATGGTATCCAAATTTCAGGTCTATCTTAGTGAAGTATCAACAACCTTGCACTCTATCCAAAAGGTAGTCGATGCGTGGTAGGGGTTCAACGTTTTGAACGGTGATGATATTAAGACCCATATAATCAATGCACATTGCACATCCTTAGAGTCCCCCCTTTCTTGGGAACAAACAACATTGGCACAGAGTATGGGGACGTATTAGGCCGGATCCAGCCTTTCGTTGTGAGCTCTTTGAGTTGTTGGCAAAGGTCGTTTAACTCCACATGAGACATCCAATATGTCAGTCCTCTAGACACTTTGCTACCCGGAATGACTTCAATTGCATTGACTATCCCCTCTCGAATACGTCTCTAAGCTCCTAAAAATGTGTGGATATTGAGCGATTGCTTCTATCTCTGGGGGTGTTTTAACTTCCTCCTATTTTTCAGAGACAAAAATTAGGCATATACTTTCCTCGTGATTATGTTTGTAGTAGTTGTAAAAAGAGGACGCACACGTGCAACCATAAATCTCCACTAATCTGCTAACCTTGAATTTATGCAGTCCAACGGTCCTTATGTTTGAAAACTTATTGAGCATCACCTTCCTATCCTAATCAAACTGAGGCTTCACAACCTCGAGGTAGTATATCCCTAACAACATATCAAATAACAGTTCATCGCTAATTGATGAGATCTTGTGTCTCAGTTCCTTTTCTCCATAAGAGAAGGTGCAGACTACGTCCTAAACATAGTCCTTCACTACCATGTAGCGCACATTGGCTAACGTAGATGCTACATGTCTGCTAAGCCGTTGCACTTAGTCCCCTAAGCGCAACCTATCCACACAAGCACGAGCAATAAAATTCCACGTAGAACCTACGTCTGAGAAGACTCTAGCCTTTTGGCCACCTACATCAACTTCTATCACGAAATGTTCACCCTTTTGACTATTTGTAACATCGCGAATGAGTCTCTAAAGTCTTTCTCTAACCAGTCAGTCTCTAACTCCTTCAAGGACTCAGACACATCTGAGTTCATGGAACAGAGTATCGACTGGTCCAGATCTGTCGGCGGGGCGATATAGGGGTCAGCAGCCTTGGCTATCGTTTAAAGTGGAGAGGATAAGGTAACCACTTCAACATGAGTAAGAGCAGCTAATACTCCTACTGGCCGGAAGTGTTTCCGTGTGAGGTGTTCGTAGAAGCACCATCAGAGGTGGAAGATCCGACAACCACTATTGAGGATGCTACCGTGTCCATACTGGTCACAATTGAGACACGTGACCCGTACAATATGGTCATGCCACAATTCGTACTATAAACCAAGTTTCACCCATATGGGTGGTAATTGGTCAACTTGACCCTTAGGCCGACTACCTTTTTGTTTTCGAACCCCCTTAGTTTTTTCTCGAATGAGAGCGCGACCACTCCACCCTCTAAAATCCTCGCACTCCCATCTATTTGTGTTTCTTCCCCAAGGTAAGATAAGTCATCAATCTCAATTTCGTTGTCGTCATGGTCAACGAACATGAGATTGTTTTTCTTCTCCCAATCCTGAAGAAGTTTTTTCCCCCTGCCATTTGTCACTGCTTGTTCGACACTCCCAAGCCTAACCTCTATATCTAAGTTTTTTATTGTAGAATGAAGCAGAGTCATGTACATCTATGAAGGTCGCATCGACCAACTTAGTTTTGGCATATTTGGGCAGACATAACAAATAAGTTATCAAGAGGACCGGTGGATTGTACCACACGCCAGGGACAATAATCGACCGCTCTACGACATGTATTATCTCGCGAACTGTCCAATATCTCTTCGATCCTAGACTAGCCAGCGAGTCGGTGGCCTTTTGTGCCCCTTGGGGGTCATGCCACCTGTTGTAGACCAACCGTAAAACTCCTTCAATTTCCAGGTTTGTGCCCAACCATCGAACTTTTGTCTGTAGCCATGTTGATGTACTGACCCGTTAACCATATGGCTTATGATCCTTGTAGAAAGGACGCAATGACCATGACTTTTTCCTCGCACTTTGTGCCTCATATAAATAGGCACAATCCTTACCCATGTATCTAAGTCCTCTTCCTTCTTCTTGTCGCCAAAGAAGGGTTTAAGACTCAACAACGGTATCTTAGGTGTCCACTGCATTGATGGCATAACACCCCATACTTGCTGCATCGGTTGAAAAACCAGTGGAACAGGCCGCTATGGTGGCACTTGCTGCTACGGCGGTACCTGTTGCAGAGGTTGCTGAACGTGCAGTTGCCCTTTAGCTGCATCCGTTGGATGGGGAAATAAAGAAGCCGTTATCGGAATCTGCCCACTCCTACATACTTCTACCCCCCTCTGGTGGATGCATGTCAAACTGTGGGACAAATGGTTGTCCCGTAGGCGACAACGTCATCGAAGGACCTGCAACCGTAGGGGGATATAGCAGGTCAGTAGCCTCACCCATAAGTCCAGGCTCCCACACTGCATGTAAAATCTGGTTTTGGGCAACTATCAGAGCAACCAACAATTTTTGTTGCAAGGTCTGTACTTCGGCCACACTCAACAGAGAGTTACGAAGAGACCTAAAAACAGGATCAAGGATTGACTCATCTACAACTTATAGTTTGCCTAGCTCCTCTGCCCTTGCCTCTATAGCTTAGTTTTTTCTTATTCTCGTTCTTTTTCTCCTATCCTCTACTTCTTGTAACTGGCGTCGTAACTATGCATGGAGAGCATCCGTTTATTGGATCTCATAATCCTCAATTGAAATGGGTTGTTGTTGGCTGACCTGCAAGCTAGCAGACTGACTAATGAAAGGTTGGTATATACTTGAACTGACACATGACAAAGTGGTCTGAGATAAGGCATGTGACATTGTAGATGTGGTAGCTATGGCTGCATGTGCTATGGATCCAGCATCTGCTGATCTTGCTGCTGCTAGTGCCCTTTCAACGTTAGTTGTTCCCTTGCCCGCTCCAAGTTCCTCCTTTCACTCTTTTGTCTTCTCAGTCTCCTTTCCTCCCCTGACTCTAACACCAAGAAAGTAGTCGACCGACTAAGTTCAGGTCAATGAGTAAGCCTCCTATCGCCTTGTCTAGTCCCTCAACCTCACTGTCATTTTCGCTCATGAGCTACGTGTGGCATGCAATCTACACGAATGTCATCATTGATACCTACCGCAGCCTAGCATCTAACCGATTCTAAAAATAAAAAATAAATAAGTATTTGATCAAACTATGTAAGAAATTAGTCAAGCGGTGACAATAGATAAGCGCAGACCCCTATGAACAATTCTACTTGTATTTTAACCAGTCTAAAGGAGATTGCAATGAAACAAAGAACAACTCTCTACTCTACCTAAGTAGTCTATCGGTGGTCAGCAAAGTCAATAATAACTACCTAATCAAAAATAAAAATAAAATCATTTGTTGGAATGCAGATATAATTGAAGATATTGCACTAATTTACAACCGGAACATTTATTGAATTTTTTTCTCCCTTTGTATTCCTCTTGAGTGTCGACGTTCTGGAGCTCTAGTTCAGCGGCGTGTCTAAAGTTGTGCAATCGGCCCACCACTGTACCCCAAATCGGTGCAGAACTGGTCATTCTCGACCATACTATTTTTATAGTCGCATACAACACGAGTCGTGTATTCCTGCAGAAATTCTCTTATAAAAGGTCCAACACTCGTTTATCCCTCATAGGGCTGGCCTGCTGACATGACCTCTGCAGTGCAGCAAGGAAGGACAAGCAACAAATAATATGTGCTATACTCCCAACAGATTCCTACAAAAAAAATTGTTAAAAAAAAAAAACAAAAAAAAAAAAACATTATCAGTTGGTTCTTTTTAAGAAAGAGTACAATTTCTTTTTTTTTCGAACGTCGTGTTTGGACTTCTAGTACTAAACTGTTTGGACTTCTAGTACTACGCTGACGGAATATGCGGACAGGGTATCCTTGGTCTTCCGCGCGAAGCTCGGTTTTGGGTATCTGGTTTTCCTTTTTCTTTTTCTTTTCTTTCGACTTGTTTTGATCTTTTACCCTTTCGGACCCTTGCTTGTCTACATTTTGAGTACGAGTTTTGTTCGGGCCTGAGCACTGTTTCGGTCCTCGAGCCAGTGCCTTGTTGTCGCAGAACTCTCTCTGCTACCCGATTTTGGCGGTGTGGCTCTTTTGGTCAGCGGTAGGCCTGTGTAGTGTTTTTCGTTGCTAGTGTTTTCGTTGGGTGGAACTATAAGTAGATCATCGTGGTATGTGTTCGACCTCTTGGGTCGGCCGCACGACGATTATCATTACTACCGGTAGTGATGATATGAGCTTGCGGACGTGGA